TTTTTTATTGTTTGGAAGCTTCCCTCAACTAAAAGAACATTAATGAAAGTGAACAATACTGCAAAAAGACATCACTAATCTGTTATCAGCTCAAAGAAAAGTGCAAAGGTACACTACACTCCCAGACCCTTTAGTAATGTCCAGCTCTGACAGGCTAATATAACTAATTCTTTTTAATTTCGAGGGAAATCTACAAAGGGCATTAAATTTGAATATTCAAAAGTTTTGATGACAAAGTCAATCCAATGGACATCTTCATATCCAAGTGCAGTGCAGCATATTTTTGTTGAATCTGAAGGCATTTTCCTTATTTTTAAATTAAAATTACCTTTAAATTAAAGGTCTTAATCTGTGAAAATCAGACTAAAACAGTTTAAAGTAAATCCATTTGAAAAAAGTGAAAGGAGGTTAGGGCACATTTTCCTGAGCTGCAATTAGATGGTTGTTTGTGGGGAAAACTTCTCAATGCTGATGGAAAGTAGAATGTTTTTTCATGTTAAAGTTAACGTGTTAAAACCGAACCAGCCATCATCCTTACTGACGCAGAGATTGGAGATTAGTGGGGTGTGGGTCTGTCTTATTGCAGGTGTGGGTCTCATGAGTAGGTGTTGGTCTACAGAGTGAACAGGCCAAAGCCTGCCCTCTGAAGTCCTTGAAGAAGTAGTTTTGACCCTACATGTGTTTTACAGGACTTATGAAAACATTGACGGAGTGACGGGGCTGTTATTTTCCAGGAGTCCTGCAATGCTGCCGTGTCCTCCTGCACCTCCCAGGTACTGTTTATTAACCCTATCTGACACTGGCTCTCTTAGAGTCCGCACCAGCTTAGGGGGACAGTTCACACAGATCAGCCTGCCAAGGGACTTGCAGCAGAGCAAATTCTCTTGTCTGCAAAACTCCCATCCACATTTTTTTGTCTTGACAATGAATCTTGGTGGCTCTTGGGAAACAAAAGAGTAATGATCACCTTGTATTCTAGTCTCACCAAGATCTCCTCTCTCATCTTTCTGTTGAAAGGTTAGACTTAAGTTCACTGGGTGCACATTAGAGGACACACCTCTTGAACTTCCCAGGAAGTAAAGACGTAAGACGTCAGTGCATTCACGACTGTCTTAATTCTTAATTTGCGCTCCCCATGGTTACTTTTCACTTTTCTATCTCTTAGTAGCTAGGCTGTTCAGTTTTGTGTTCTGTTTGCTTACATCCCAGGACTTGGTTATAATCAGAAGCCTCCACTACTTATATGTGGAACAAACAATAGTCTGCTTCTGGGGGAACTACTGTAGATGTGACAAAGTCCTGCAGTGGAGTGAGGTGGAATTGTCATTTGTTAAATGGCTGTAATGGAATTCACTTGTGCTTTGTAGAAAAAAAAGCCTCCAGTAACATAGATATCAATTTGGTTCCGACATCACATCATATTAGTTAATTAATGAGTTTAATACTTGAACTGATACTGTCCTCTTGATGAGAGGGTGTTTTTTTTAATTTGCACCCAAAGCTTGCAGTGTTGTGCAGAAAGAGGAGGCAGTCAGTGAAAGTGGGTTAATTTAGTTCACATCCACCCGCTTAATTGGGTGCTGGTGTGTTTGTCTGTTTATTAAAGTATCTTTGTAAAGGATTCAAAAAGGCTAACAAGATTCATTTACTGAGCTTTGCTCAGTTGGCAGAAGTACCTCTGCCTACATTAAAAACACAATTAAACAGCATAACAAGGATTCAGAAAAAAATATAATATACCACAGCAGCACTGAATCAGCAAATCCAGTTCAGAAGTAAGGCTATCATGGCTAAATAGGAATTGAATGTTAATGATGAACAGTATAATGAAATTAATTAAAATATGACTTGGCTACATTTGATTATTTCTGGAGCTGTATGAGAAAAAAATAGCTTCTGGGTCATGGCAAACATTTAATTTCCTTTAGATTTTAGCTTCAATGTGTAACTGTTTTCCCCAGCAGTGACCACAAACCTAGTAACACACATCTCCTATCAGCACATCCAGCACATTTACA